CTGAAATTTGCTGTTTTTGAGACTGAAAAAAAAGACACCAGCAATCCTACCATTGTGTAAGACAATTACAGGCTTCCATTTTACACTCACTTGGCAGGACAGAAGTACCTCCCTGGGCAGTTGCTGTCTACCAACCTACTACCTAGGAAATTTACTGCTTATTTACATTTAAAGCCATTAAACTTATATTTGACTCAGGAATGATTAAAGAATTGCTGCTCACCCTTTCAGACAGATTAAGCCTGATGCTGTTGGGGAGGAATTTGCATGGTCTTCATTTATGTAGCTCCCAGACTGTATAACAGGTTACTAGTGTCTGTTAAGCCAGGAATCTGTTCATGCTTTTAAATTTCAGTTACCAGCACATCTCTGCCAGTTCTCCATGGTTTTATTCACAATTGAAACAGGTAGCCGAATGTGGTTGAGCACCTGCACAGCATCTGGTGTTGAGCACTTGTATGCTTGCACACAAGAGAAGGAACACACACTCATACTTCTGTTACAAAGGTTAAACTGCGAGGTGGTTATTCCTATGGCGATTCATTGAGCCTGAATCACATAAGTGTTGCAGGTCACCATTTCAGTGAATGCCAGAATATAGAAACAAAATATTCAGTAATGGTCCCTGCATTTCTTGCAGAACTAATCCTTTTCTTAGTCACACAAAACCTAGGGACAAATAATTTTTAATATCCAGTGTAGTTATAAAGGTGCACAAGGAAAAAATAACCATAATTCAGCTGGGAGAAGGCCATAAACTTGTGTTCTTTTCCAGATACAGAAGCCGATCTCGACCCATGCTTTCCATCACTGCTGGCCCAAGGTAAACCCTGGAATACATCGGGTTACCCTGGTAAAGGTGTCGGCTTTTTCTTCTTATGGTATATGGAAGACAAGGTTGGGGGAAGGGGAAGAGTGAAGAACATTTGGAGAACATGCTTGTAAATTTTAGTAGTAAATAAGATTGTATCAATGTTTTATTTTAAATACAGTACTAAATAGTTACTTTTTGGAGCATGGTATGTTGGAAAACTTTAATGAGTGTATCAGTGTCACAGTCTGAGGACTTTTGTATAAGTACTCAATTTTAATGTTACCTAGTGCATAGTGCAAAACGGGGAAGTCATATTTGCAATAAAAGAACACTGCCAACATTCCTAGTACAAGAATATTCAGCCTGCTACCTGCAGATGTTAGAAATTATTGCTGGAATGAATGTAGAAGTTTTATAGAGGAAACTGTATCTCTGCCTCTTAAGTGCTAAATCACCCAGGCTGTGACAAATGTGGGTCAGCAGGCCACCAACAGCAATGGTCTAGTTGAACAGGCAATAGACAAAAAAGCCTGGTTCCAGGCCTGGCTGTGAGGGTAGGAAAAATTCTTGACATGTATCACATGAACATGGCATAGGTTCACTAGCTAACGAAGTGAGTAAAAGGCATCCTCTGATCTTTCAGTTTGTTGTAACAAAGGCATATGCAGAGCTGCAACCACACATCCTCCTTAGCCTAGTGCCAGATTTAAACAGGAGTAGGCTGCCAGCCTCGCGCGAAGCTTGGGGCACCGCAGGTTAAAGGATTCTGCCAGACCAACAGTTACACATCAAATATTATGAAGGCTACATAGGGCCACATAAGTGCCAACACTAACATTACTTATAGTACATTACAGGTAAATGACAATAGCAAATTATATAAACAGAACTAATGTGGCTATTTCTACCATTGTATACAAAAAGGATTCAGTAGCTGTTAATAGCAAAATCAGTGTATGGTGTGATGAATGGCAAAATTATTGTAAAGGTATAGTGCACTGTTAGGTGATATGGAAAATTTAATAAAGAATTTTAGATAGTGTGCAGTAAAAGAAGCATAAGTGGGGGGACATGAAGGGAAGTGAAGATAGAAGAGGTACTAGTAAAAATGTATACTTCATTAAAGTTAATTGTTTTTTCTAAAAGTAGTTACTCTTCATGAGGGCAGGGTAGTGGTAAAAATAAAGCAGTAATTACTACAATAAAAATGAACAAAAAAGTATTTGCTTAGGCTGACATTAAAAACAGCATTAAAAATCTTTAAGATAAAAATATCATTGGTTTAATTATTAAATGTCTTCCATACATCATTAAAAATAAAACTAACCAACTAATAGTGTGTGCTTCAACTAATATGGTATCAACACAGATTTGTTATTTCATGTAAAAATTACTTTTAAGTGAAATTCCTCAAGGCAAGGAGACCAGAAGAAAAATTTGCCACTACTTCTTTCTTTCAACGCACCAGCCGTACCCCACAGATGTGGGGTGGCCCAAAAGGACAAATGAAAGTTTCTCCTTTTAAATTTAGTAATTTATATAGGGGGATAAGTCTGTTGAGTATACCTGGCAAAGTGTATGGTAGAGTTGTTATTGAAAGACATTAGAGTAGACAAGAGAATAGGAATATTGATGAAAAGGGGCTTTAGGAAAGGAGCTAGGCGGTGTGTGGACCAGGTGTTTACAGTTGAAACATCTAAGTGAACAGTATTTAGATAAGGCTAAAGAGATCTTTGTGGCATTTTATGGATTTGGGAAAAGGCGTATGAACAGGGTGGATAGGGGGCAATGTGGAAGAATGTGACAGGTGTTATGGTGTAGGAGGTAGGTTACTGAACGCAGTGAAAAGAGTTTTTACAGGATAGTGAGGCTAGTTAGAGTTTGTAGGAAAGAGGGAAATTATTTCACAGTATAAAGTAGGCCTTAGGTCAAGGATGTGTGATGTCACCATGGTTATTTAATATTTTTATAGATTGGGGTTGTAAGGAGATGTAAAATGTGAGGGTCTTGGCAAAGAGGCGTGGAGTTAAAAGATAAGAATCAACACAAAGTGGGAGTTGTCACTGTTGCTCTTTGTGATGGACACGTGTCTTGGGAGATTCTGAAGGAGTTAGAGATTGGGTGGTTGAATTGGTAGGGTGTGCAAAAGAAGAAGAATTGGAAAGTGAATACAGGAAAGAGTGGTTATGAGGTTAACAAAAAGTTAGGTGACTGAAAGATTGGATATCAGATTGGAAGGGAGAGAGTTGGAGGAGGTGAATGTATTCAGATATTTGGGAGGGGGACGTGTCAGTGGATGGGTCTGTGAAGTGAGGTGAATCATAGAATTGATGAGGGGGGAAAAAGGGTGAGTGGTGCACTTAGGAGTTGTGGAGACAAAGAACTTTGTCCGTGGAGGCGAAGTGGGGGAATGTTTGAGAGTATAGTTTTACCAACGGCTCTATATGGGTGAAGCGTGGGTGATGATGTTGCAGAGAGGGAGAGGGCTGGAGGCAGTGGAGATGGTCATGTTGAGGGCATGTTTGGTGTGAATCTAATGCAGGAGAATTCGTAGTTGTAGTTTGGAAGTTAAGGGGAGTGCGGGCATTACCAAAACTGTAGTCAGAGGGCTGAGCTGGGAAGGGTTGTTGAGGTGGTTCGGACATGTATAGAGAATGGAGCGTAAACAGGCTGACTTCAAGGTGTATCAGTCTGTAGTGGAAGGATGGTAGGGGTAGGGTCGGCCTAGGAAGGGTTGGAGGGAGGGGGTAAATAAAGGAGGTTTGTGTGTGAGGGGCTGGACTTCCAGCAGGCATGCGGTGTGGCGTGTTTGATAGGAGGAATGGAGACAAATGGTTTTTTTTAATATTGGACCGTTGCTGGTGGAGGTGTGAGCAAAGAATAACATTTATGAAGGGACTTCAGGGGAAACGGCAGTCCGGACTTGAGTCCTGGAGATTGGGAAGTACAGTGCCCTGCACTCTGAAGGGAGGAGTGTTAAATGTTTGCAGTTTAAAAACTGTAGTGTAAAGCACTTCTGGCAAAAGTCAGTGATGGAGTGAATGATGGTGATAGTTTTTCTTTTTCGGGCCACCCTGCCTTGGTGGGAATCGGCCAGTGTGATAATAAAAAAATAAAATTTATACAGGAGAAGGGGATACTAGCCCCTTGCTCCCGGCATTTTAGTCACCTCTTACAACACGCATGGCTTACGGAGGAAGATTTCTGTTCCCAATTCCCATGGAGATAAGAGGAAATAAACAAGAACAAGAGCTAGAAAGAAAATAGAAAACCCAGAGGGGTGTGTGTATATATATATGCTTGTACATGTATGTGTAGTGTGACTTAAATGTAAGTAGAAGTAGCAAGATGTACCTGAAATCTTGCATGTTTGAGACAGAAAAAAGGACACTAGCAATCCTACCAAGTAAAACAATTACAGGCTTTCGTTTTACACTCGCTTGGCACGACGGTAGTACCTCCCTGGGCAGTTGCTGTCTACCAACCTACTACCACTTTCTAGCTGTTTTTCCGTAGGTGCTCTGACATCACAATCCATATGACCCACCAAACTAGTGTTTGACCCAGTTTTTAAAGTGCACCCATTCTACTTATTTTCAGAAGTTCAGCTAATTGGTTTTTCCTGATAATTTCGCAACTACTCAAACCCACACTATTTGCAGATGACATTACATACGTCTTCTCTCACCCGAGCCCAGTCATGCTAGCCAATACTATGAATACCGAATTACAGAAAATATCTACCTCGATGAGGACTAACAAACTTATTCTCAACATTGACAAAACCTACTTCATTCAGTTTTGTAACAGAGCTACAGATGTCCCTCTTAACATAATGATAAACAGATCACCTATCACAAAGCTCTGAGGGAAAAATTCTTAGAAATCCACTTGATTTATACTCTAATTTCCAAACACATATACAACTAAATCCAAGAAAATTAAATTCCAAGACGTAGGCATAACTATTGAAGATACGCGGACTATGCTTCCACAGTCGGCCCTCCTGGCCTATATCACTCACTTAATTACTCCTATCTTGCCTATGGAATTTGTGCATGGGGCTCAAAACCAAGCTATACCATCTCAGACCATTAATTACCCAAACAATGAAAAGTTTGCAGTCAGAATGATGAAAATTCACACACTATACAGCAGCCAACACCAATAGTAACAACTCGTAAACCTTCTCACCATACGAAACATCAATACTTATTATTGTACCTACTATATACATAGAACACTTTAACTCGGATATAAACTCCCTTCAAAGTCGTCTCCTTACGAACCTTCAACAGAAACACATGTCCATAACACAAGCGCACAGATATCACTCTGTGTATTTGTGTTCATCTCGCATCTATGCTAAAAACTCTAGGCAGTAAAAGGCCCAAATCTGGAGATTTCACTACCTGTTAATATAAAGAAACGTGTCTGTAATAAATTCAAGTGTCGTCTTAAAAATCACTTACCCACAACCAATAAAATACTGAACATATTTGTATTCATATTTATGTTTAACCTGTGACCCAAATCAACTTTAGTTTTTATTTGCATTATCTAACAGTAAGACTACATTCTACTGAAAATGCACAGAAACACAGTAAAATGACCTATAACCTGTCATCTGATACTCATTGTGCTTAATTGTTAACTGATTTACTACTAGTTACAACTGAATATGTCATGGCTTAGTTATCTTTAAGTTATTTTAAGCCAGCCATAATGCTCTGCAGGCATGCGGGCCTTTGGCTTGTTACCACGTTACATCTGATTTCTACTTGCTTCTTCTATGTTCATGTTCAGGTTAATAAATAAATATGATCTTGCTACACACTCAACTGCACATCAAGATGATCTCAAGATGTTCTGCTCACTCTTATATTACGCTCTCTTGATATTCCTGTTGGTATGCTCAGGTCCCTACGTTTTAAAAATCGCTTCCATAATATGAAAAACTAAATAAATGCAGGAAAATCCCACCCTTTAATAGCACAATATTCTTATTA